GCTCTTCTCTGTGCTTTGAATGCACTTTTCTGTCTCAGCTTACTGTACAAGTGTCAGCTTAGCTACAGTCTTCAGCAAGTCTTCTGTGACTTCGTGACTCCCATCTGTTTGTGGGTTGGCCCTTGCTGGGTGCCCTTTACTATCTGTCCACCTTCATTTACTGTTCCTGATGTAGCCTATTTGCAGTACTAAATTCAGTCCATTAAGCACTGAGAGTGCCTGGACAGTACTGAGACTGAATCCTTTCACTTTATGTACTCAGTGGTCAGTAGGGGCCAGGCATAGAGTCCATCTCAAAACATGTGTTGAAACCAAATAAAACGTGAAGTTATCAGCCTTGAGCAGTGACCTTTGACTTCTCTGGAAAATGTGTTTTCAGCACAGGGCTGTAGTTCAGAGAGTTTATGCATCGAGTCTTTCTGGGATTCTCAAATTCTGTGAAAGTTTCTTCTGAGAGCTCTTTTAATGTCTCATAACAATAATGGCCATACCTATTAAGGGGCTTTTAGGAAAATGGAAGTAGTAGCAATGACATCAACTTATTGTCTATGCTTTTTAAATTAAATTTTGTTTTACTGTTTTTTTTTTTTTTTTGCGCTACTGGGGTTTTGAACTCAGGCCTTCACACTGCTAGGCAGGTGCCCTATCTCTCGATCCATGCCTCTCATTTTGTTATGCTCTGGATATTTTGGAGGTAGGGTCTTGCTTTATGTTTGGGCTGGCCTGGACCATGATCCTCCTGTTTATGCTTTCTGCAGTAGCTGGGATGACAGGTGTGCACCACCACACTCAGCTTTTTCTGTTGAGATGGGGGCTTGCAAAATTTTTGCCTGGGCTGGCCTGGAACTGTGTTCCTCCTGATCTCAGCCTCCTACATAGCTGGAATGACAGATGAGTGCATTGTACCCAGCTGTTGGTTGAGATGGAGTCTTGTGAGCTTTTCTTGTCCTGGCTGGCCTTGAACCATGATCATCCTGATCTCTGCCTCCAAAGTAGGCTAGGGTTACAGATGTGAGCTACTGGGACTCTTCCTTATTTTACTTTTTTAGTTAGCATAAGTTGATATTATGAGGGGTTTTCATTATGATAATTTCATGGTTGTACTTCAGTGTTCTTTGAACAATTTCACCCCCTTCTTTATATCCCCTTAGTCCTCCTTTTCCTCCTCTGCACTTTTTCAAACAGCTTTTGGTAATTTCATTATGTTGTCTTCATATGAGTGTGTGTGTGTGTGTGTGTGTGTGTGTGTAATGTACTTCCATTCTTGTCACTCCTCAGCATCTTTCCACAGGTCTGTTACTCTAAGGAAGGTCCACAGACATCCAGCACATTTTCATAAAAGTTTTACATTGTTTCATTGAACACAATGTCATCGCAACTAGTAAACCTGCCATGTAGTAACTAAATATCACTTATCACAATTCAATATTCAATAATATAAGAAAATTATGCCTCTTTTGGTATAACTGCTTTCCTTACAAAAAGGAGGAGTAATTTCTTATGGGGATGCTGCTACATGGATAAGCAGCTGCAGTTTATTTTTAGTCTATAAACACCATCACTCTTGGGAGATAAACAGGTAGTGCTTTGCCTGGCACCTCATAAAACCCTGAATTCACTATTTTGTTATTTTTTATAGCGTTGTGCAGCTATGATTTTATGTGGTTTAACTTTGGATTATTCACCTGTAGCAAAATGAAAGTTACCCAGCGTCTGATTCCTGGATGAAAGCTGTCTCTTTGTTACCTCTCCTGTGAGGACCAGGCCTAGGCACAGTGCTTACCTTCTGTGCCCTCTTCAGCCTCATAGATTGTAAGGTACACTGGGATCAAGTTGTTTCATTGTGGTTTTATTGTACATAATGAATTACAGCTAATTAACCTACTATGAAATATTTGACCTTCACAGAATGTAAGATCCATGAGGTCAGGAATGTTGTGTTTTGTCAAAACATTGTTTCTTAAACATTTCATACAGTGTGTGGTACAATGTGATAGATGATCAGAAATATTTGTAATCGGACCCCCTTGGGCTTTGAACTTCTCCCTGTCAAAGTGTGGATCCATACAGTTTGAATTTCCAGGATGTTTAAAATACAAGTTCAATTTCCGAGCTTCAAACTAAAGGCTTTATTACTCTATTTATTGATTTATTTGTAGTACTGGAGTTTTAACTCAGGGCCTTCTGCTTGCTAGGCAGGTGTTCTACCACGTGAGCCACACTCCAGTCCTTTTTACTTTAGTTATTTTTCAGATAGGGTCTTACATTTTTGCCAGGGCTGCCCCTCAGACTTATATCCTCCTACCTGTGCCTCCAATTTAGCTGGGATTACAAGTTTATACCACTGTATCTCGTTTGCTTGGGCTGGTATCTAACCATGGATCCTCCCTATCTCTGCCTCCCAGGTAGCTAGGATTATAAGTGTGAGCCACTATCTCTTGTGGTTTATTGCTTTTAAAGAAACACTGAGACTGGGAGTGGTAGTGTAGATCTGTAATCTTTTGATTTCCAGGCCAGCCTGGAAATCCTGTCTTTAGAAACCAATAAATAAAATAAAACAACAACAACAAAAAAACTGAATACTGATAATTTGGGGAATATATTTGTGAAAGATGAGTTTCTTTTTGTTCCCCTGAAATCACTGTCAAGACAGTTACGTCATCCTTTTCCATAAGAACTATAGTCTGTTCTAACAGCTTCATTGTGAGTGTGTTAGTTTCATAAGTGTGTCATTACATGACACTCTTCTTTCTTTTTCTGTAGAAACATGGAGCTGAACCTCCCCTAAGGCAATTTTATTGCCCTCCTTTAAAAATGGAGAATTGCAGAGCTTGCTCCCTGAAGCCTAAGATAGGTGGTTGCTTTGTGTGATGGTGTTGGGTGTGTTTTCTCCTGCTGCTGATGCAGGCTGGGATGTGGTGTAGACTTCAAGACTCTTGTCTCTTTTTTTCTTTCTGGTTTGGGTGGGGTGGTAGAGTATGAAGTGGGTAGACTCATGGTCTCCTTCCTGGTTTTTCTTAAGACCAAATTTGGACAAGCAAGGGAACAGAGGGGGTGGTAAGGTTATTCAGAGACTGTGGCATCTGCTCAGAATAAAAACATCACATCCATTCTTAAGTCCACAGAATGGTGTTTACTGAGGAGGAAGATGGAGCAAGCCTGAATAGCAGTTCTGAATATCTGTGGACCTTTCTTGATCCATCTATTTAGAATTTTTAGATTGTCTTGGAAAATAGGATGAAGTGTAATTCTCAAAGGAGGAACTGCAGTTTAGACATCTAGGCTTAGAGAATTCATTATTTTTTAGTTCTTGCTCACGGATACTGAAATCTGGGTTTCCTTAACCCTGACTCACCCTCGGGATGTGGTCAGAAGACTTCAGTTTTAGGTTCTGTCCTTGGCGTGCGAGCTGGCTGACTGTGGCAGGCCATGCTTAGCCCTCTCAGCCTATGCCTTTCCTCTGTCTGTGGGACCATCACACTGACCGTTTGGATTTGTCGTGCAACGTAAGTCAGGCTGAACACGAGGAGGAGTCTGAAGTCCTGTGAGGTAGTCTTATCCCATGGCTATGCCGTGGCTCTTACCGCCCTTTCCTTTCAATGTGAAAAGAACGAAAATGAAGAATTAAAACCACTTTTTTTGGTGGATACCATTTTTCTTTTTTATTTGAGCTGAAAGAAAGCTAAGAAACAAATTTGTAGGACACTTTTAATAAGGAATTCACAACCTTTATCTTAAGTGATAGCCTCACTTCTCTGTCTGTTTTCTGCCTGTTTCCCTTTGTTCTTGCTAATCTGTGCTTTTTGACTCCATCATAGGTACGTTGATAAAAGCAGCCTTAAATCCTATTTAGAATAAGTAATTAGATAAGAACCAACCAGCCAAATAAATACTGCTGCCTGTTTTCTTTTCTGTTGTATTTGAAGATGGATGATAAAACTGTACCTCAAGAGAGAGCCCTGGGCTCTGTTACTTCCACAAAGGCATCCCAAGTGTGAACAGGAATTGGTTTCAAAGATTCCACTTCTAAGATAGTGGTAGTGGTGAAGTTTGTCAGCTCTTTCACTAAGAAGAACCTAAAATTCTTGGCTGATAGTGTTTTAGAAATGAGACTTGCTAGAGGGGAAATGCCCAGAATGAAACAACCTTTTTCTTTTGTATTGAAATTAACCATTTATTTAAAATACATTATTTCATTTTTACATATGCCACCGGAGAGTGTTTAAAGAAAGTACTTTATTGATTAAAGACAGGTTCTCATAAAAATGTGTTTTTCATTTTCCTTTTGTATGCTCTTGTTTGGGTCAAAGTTTTAGATGATATTCAGAGTGAGAAATGGCGATAAGACTCTGTACAACTAATGTTAATGTTTTTAGTATTTTAATATTTTATTATAATTTTATTTTATTTGAATTGTACGTGATACATTGAATGCTCACCTGTGTGACTTAATTGTTGATTGACTTAATACTAATTCCCTTCTTGGATAATTTTGTTAGCCTATGCTGGTTTTCTGAATTGGTACCATACTAGTACTAGTGAGTGATCTACAATTGTCATTTAGCTTATTGATAGGTCTACAGCAAACATTAGTGAGTCTGAGACTCAGACCATCTTCTGGTGTCCTGACTGGTGCTAAGCTTAAATCTCAAGGAAGAATTTGTTTTCCTGTCTAGTCCTGGTCAGAAGACACAAAAGATCTTAAAACATACTTATTATCACCAACATTTCTAGGGTTTTTGATCTTCTGTCCCATCTGAGTTGCCAGAATAAGAATTTTAGACAAACCCAAGATAGTTTAAATTTATGTCATAGTTGTAATATATTTTTCATTTTGGCTTTGTAACTTTAATTTATAGAGCTCACAAGAACTTTTTGTTCAAACTACCACCACCATCACCTCAGACAATAACAGCAAACCAACCCCAAATCTTCTATGTTGATAATGTTGTGGTAATAAGCTTGTGATGTAATTCAGTAAAATTTATTTTCCTTTTCAGTTCTGTCAGGAGGACCATTGCCTCAAGGGCATGAATTTGAACTTTATGAAGTTAGATTTCACTGGGGAAGAGAAAATCAGCGTGGCTCTGAGCACACAGTTAATTTTAAAGCTTTTCCCATGGAGGTAAGAATAATGATCATCTTGTAAAAATCTTGCTCTTTGGTAAAGAATTCAGAAATTTACTGAAAATGGTTCAGATTAAAAGTAAATGCATAGCTCTTGAATTTTATCAATTTATGTTAAGATATAAAAAAAAAGTACATAGTGAAATGTAACCTTGGGGCAATGAATGAAGCTTCCACTTACTTACTGGGCTTGGAGTTCACAGGTGAGCAATTGGTCATAAAGGTTATCTGCACTTTAAGTCTTACCCTAGGTTTATTCCTGTTGTGAACATTCTGTGTGTACAAATTGGGCAAGTCACTTCTGTAGACGCTAGGAGTAGGTGGTGAGCTACAAACAAATAACTGTTGGAGAAGGCTCAAAAGTCTAGTTCAGTTCATTTAAAGTTGGTAAATTGGTTTTATTTATTCCAAGTCATTGAGGAAAGGGGGATTTTTTTTTTAGAGAGAGATTCTTACATCGGAAATATTCTCCCTCCTGCACTCACCTTCCAAGTAAATTCTCATACTTTTGTAAATATCTAGTTGAAAAATTGTGCCTCCTATGGGACCTTTTCTGACTTTCTTCCCCAGGCAGAATTCATGTGTGTGTGTGTGTGTGTGTGTGTATGTGTGTGTGTGTGTGTATGTGTTTGTGGTCTTCCCAGTGAACTTGTTAGTTTAGACATATCAAGATCACTTGTCTTTCTTGTTGCCTGTGATCTCCTTAGGACAAGGGTATCCCTCTTATTCCCTTGTTTACTCCCATCATTTAGCTCACTGCTAGGCACATCATGGACAAATATTCCATGTTGGTGAGGTTAGTAGATTACTGCATTGGGCCAGGACTTGTTTATATTTCTGTCTATAAGGAACCACAGTTCTCTCCAGGAAATAGGTATTTATTGGCATCTGAGAGTATGTTTTCCTTTCTACCCTCCTTCCTTTGCTTTCTTCCCTCTCCCCTGTCCTTCCTCTTTGAGTGGTCTAATTCATTTCTAAGACCTTAATTTTGACTACATCAGCCCCAGTCTTATCTGACTTGGGTGCCTGGTAGACATAACAGATCAAATACAATCCAATCCTTTAAAAAAGTATATTTTGAGGGCCACTGGAATGCTAGTCTTCTTTCTCTTTTATTCCCAACTGCATGTCTGCTTAATATTAAATATGTAATTGCTATGTCCAGATACCACATCTAGCACCACGTGGGTGAATGGAAATTTCTACTATATAATTTCATATACATGTATGAATATTTTAAAGGATTAAGTTACAGTATTTCTTAGCGTTACCTTAGTTATAATTTTAAATATCCCTTTGGAAGCACAAGATAAATATTTCATAAAAAAAGATCTGAGTTTTAAAAGTAAGATGTGAAACATTTTAAAGATGGAGAGAAAAATCCCTAAATTGTGGCACATTGAAGAATATAAGACAGTAGAGAAGAAAGCTTCTTAAAGGTTTTGATGAGGAAGGTCTTTGTGTGTTCCCTTGCTAGGAGCTATTTTCTCAATGCTTAGAGACAGTCTCTCATTTCTGTTGTCTTAAAGCCATTCTCTGTCACCTCTGGCTTCTGTCTTATTCTCAGCCAACCTGAGAATGGAAAGTTCACCCCTGAGAAAGAGGACACAAAACAAAATATTCTAAAATAATTGAAGGTGCTATGTGGCAGGGTAAGGGGATGAACGGGGCAAGCTCTGCCCTCCTGTTTGACTTGAAAGGCCATTTCATCAGTCCTCAAACACAAACTCTAGTAATCTTAATGTTTAGAGAGAGATGGGTATAATTGGGCAGGCAAGGATGCCTGGATGGGAATTCTATGGCTGTGCTTGTGGCACACAATTTATAGCCTTGGGAAGGTTTAATTAGTTTATGGGAGTCAGTGATTTGTGCTTTTTCTGTGTAGTTAGAATTTCTGGACCAAATGTTCAGACTGGTCCAGCTACTTAGTGGTGTTTTAACTGCTTTGGTCCATTAAGCACAGGTAATGGATTGTTTTGAGTAAAGATTAAATTCTGGTAGGAAGGCTTTGCTTCTGCAGAAATATTTATATTTAAGATAATGGAATTACTGACTGTAATTTTTCCAAAATAGGTAAGGAGTAATATTTATATTCTTTGTAATCTCAGATTAACCTTGATGCAGTCCCAGAGAAAATACTTGTATCTGTTATCTGATGTTTGTTTAGGGATAAAATGTTGAGTGTATAAATGCTGGGGGCATGCAGAATTAGAGGGAGATTCCTATATTCCAGTTTTTAAAAGTAAAGGCTATGAACACTCAACCGGGTTTTAAGGAGGAGAGGGCTCTGAAGTGACAGAAAGGAGAGACGGAGTCCATGGAGAAGATAATTCTAGAAGCAGTAATAGGTTGGTAAATGTGGAATTTCTGATTCCCTGGTCCTGAATGGTCACTGAGGATAACCTTAAACACAAGAATGTGAACAACAGGGCAGTGGAAAGTGATGGCACCAGGTATCTTTTGAGCACATAAGTTTTTAGTTTTTTTTTAAAACACTGTTTATATTCTATTTATGTTTTAGGATTAACTTTATTGTCAAAAATCACATATCCATACACCTGTTTCCTTTTTGTTGATCTCACTTAGATGGGGTTTGTTAAATACTACAAATATTTTCCATAAATGTCACCTGTAACACACAGAAATGGCTTTTCTCAGCTGTTTGGTAGATTCATCAAGCTCTTCTTGACTTTCAAAGGTTATTATTAAAAACATAATAATAACCCTGAATACATTTTCGATACTTTGAGAAGTTAGCACCAATACAGCTTCAAAAAGCTAACACAATATTTGACTTCATTTGACTTCCATCTCTTTCAGCTGCAGGTCCTTCACTCAGCAAGGTTATAAACCTTTTATTTTCCCTTCTCGAAATTTTAGTTTTCAGAAAAACATATGTGTCCACAGCCATCTGGCACTTCTGACCATGCTTTCTTCTTGTAAACTTGAATTCTGTTATGAATACTATAGGTTTATGCCTAAATAACAGTGCCTTCGCAAGAGAAAAAAGTAATTGTGCTGTATTTTACCTTCCCCCTGCCCTGTACCTGAAAACACAACGGTTGTACTTATATTAAGTACATTCTTACAATGTCTGGTCCTGTTTAATAGCTGGAATCTGTTTATTTGCTATATGGGTATTTTGGAAGATTGTTGATTTGAGACAAGTTTGAGATCCACTAAAGTTGATTCTTGTGTGTTTATTCTCCTGGTGGCTATAGAAGCTTCTTATTTTTCTTGGATGTTGTTAGACACCTTGGCATGTGAAGTTCAGTGTTGACGCTATGCTGGCTCTTCCACTGCACTAACACCCACCTGCTCTGTGCATCCTCCATTCCACTGGAATTGTTTATTCCATCACATTAATGATTGTTCTATATCTGGAGTTTCTGGGTATTTAGGCTCCTAGACTCACATTCAACCTTTGCTATGTATTCTAAGTCTGTAATTTGTGAAAGCTCATTTCTTTTCTGCTTCAAAGCAGTATAACTCTGTGTTCTGAATAAATTTTGGTAAATTATGATCAGTCTTTACACATAAAGAGCCACTGTCATAATTCTAGGAGACAGTGCTACCCAGGCATTTAGATTTAACTGGATCAATAAAGTAAAATAAAAAGGTGATGAGGAGCCCAATAGCAAGGCCAAGTTTTAATTTTTCTCAATAAGAACATCATCACTCATTGTCTGCTATCTCTATCATTTGATGAAGAACAGAACTTTAATTGTCAAATGTAGGAAGGCCTCAGAATAAATCACAGACCTATAAAACTTGAATAGGTTAAGCATTTTAAAAACTGTCCACACTATTTTCTCATTGCACTATAGATGCATGAGCGTTTGTCAGGGTTGGACAGGGATCCTGCCTACAGGCTAGCAGCGAGCAGGTATAGCAGTGAGCAGGTATAGCAGTGATTTTCTTGCCTTCTGGGCCTAAAAAGTCTGTGATGTAAGAGTTAATTGTCCTGTGAGAGGTCTAGTTCTGTCATAGGCCAGACCCTTATCTTTATATTGTATTGAAAGAGCTGCTGTTGCTCTTTGTACTACAGCATTAGATGAGTGCATTAAGTGCATAGGAAAATAATGTTCATTGTGCAGAGCAGAGTCCTTTAATTGAGAACAGTCTGGGTTTTGGCTCCAACATAGGCCAGCAAAAATATTATGAAGACTCTATCTGAAAATTTATTCATCCTAAATATTCTATTTTCACCTCAGCAGTGTCCCCCAAAGTGCTCCAGTTTTCCAGATATCCTGCTTTTCTTCCTTTCCTTTCAGGCAAGTAGGGTATCTACCATGAAATATTCTTTTGGTAAAAATGATGTGGTCTTTAGGGTTGCTCCCTCCCAAGTCATTTTCATATTTACCTGAAAAAGATACCTTTATTCTTATTCACTTCTTTTGCTGCTCTGAGGAGATCCCAGGAAGAGTTAAAAGTGAAATTAAGATCTTTTCAAGTTACTTCATTTCCAAAAGCATCTCAGATAGAGCTTCAAATTGGTGAGTCTCTTCTAGGATTGGCTTCCATTAGCTTTCTAGGGAATGGTAGTACAAGACTTTATGAAACACAATAGGATGAGAATTGGAGATAGAAGGTATCTAATTAAAGCATTTTAGGTTTAAAGGAATGTTGAAGATGACCTAATCCAAGTGCCTATCTTACACTGGAGAAATCTGAGGATCCAAAAGGTCAAACATCATGGAATACCTTGTAGGAAATCATAATGTTTGGTCAGAATGAGGAAGAATATAGACTGGCTAATTAAAATGCTGCATTTAGGGAAGAATTATCCTCTGCAATGCTCTTTTTGCTAATGGTTTTGATGGACACAGTTGACCCAATGGACCATCCTTGCTCCCTTTCTCTGTGAAAGGCTGTTTTGTCTGCAGCCACCCCAAATATGGGAGTAGAGAAGGGTTTGGCCTTGCACAGGAGGGTGGGAGTGGGGCTGTAGCACTGTGCCCTTATCTTAGAGGCTGTGAAAACCAAGAACCACAGTGG